TGCCCATAGGAAACAAATTAGGCCATCGTGGCCAAGGGACTTATTGCCCATACAGATAAAAGAGAGGAAATTTAATGGAAAGAAGAGAATTTACAGCAACATGAAAAAACGCCAACGACTCTCAATTTGATAGATGATCTTAAGGATTAGCCATTAGGCTCTGATACCATGCCAAAACATAGAGAATATTGAGAGTAGAGAGTGGAAAGTGTAGAGAGAATGAGAGTTGTAGAATATTTTCTGATTTTCACTTATATTTCATTCCTTACAATCAACACATATATATACAAGTTCCTAAGACATTAGTCAAGCCCCCCAAGTTAGGCAACCAAACTAATTAGGCAACCAAACTAGTTAGGCAACCAACCTAGTCAAGCCCCCCAAATATTGTAGGTGCCAAACATTAATTGACTACATAATTAACACATTAATTTACTACATAATTAACACATTAATTGACTATTGCTAACATTTCCTGGGCAAACTCTCCACGGCTGTGTGATCCATCACCATAACTGACTGGCAATTACTACTTGAGCAAGTTCCATTCAGGGAGACACACTGGTTTGAAGAGCATGGTAGGGTTTTGTAAGTTGAGGATTTTTCGAGGTCAAAAAGAGGGTCTGTTTGTTGGTAACAACTAGGGCAAGGCTTGCATTGTGTCCATATGAGATCACTGCCTGTGTTAGCAATGGCTTTGATAGGAAACAGAGGTGTTCCGATCGATGCTTCCATGAGATACTCACCCCGCTTCATGATGAGAGTGGCTTGAACTTGGTTAGGGCCATCCTGAGATAATGAAGAAGCTGCTGGGCTGAAATGGTTGAGTCGGTTGATCGATCGACGAAGGGCATTGGCCAAACGCTGGGAGGGTGTCAAAGAAGGGTTGTACAAGGGAGATATTGGAGAATCACGGTGAATGAGATCAACACTGAAGCCACCTTTAGCTGAGGCCAAAGAGAAACTAGAGGCACAAAGAAGAAAGAGCTAGGTTGTTGACAATGCAATAAAGGCACAAGAATGATATGCTGCCATGGCTGAGAATGATTGTGAATTTTAGATTAGGATAGAGGGATTATGGTGTGTATTTATAGGTGAAGAAGAGCCTGAGATTGATGGTTTTAGACAGTGAAGGTGGGATTTGCTCTTCCCGCAATTGATATCTTGATTTGATTAATTACATGATTATGTGTTGCCTAGATTGACGTTTGTTTCCCTTTGGCTTGGATATTCTAAGAGATATATGAGAATCCAACTTGCGAAAAACAGATTAATTTCCATTTTGTTTTCACCAATATATTTCATATATGGCATGTTTATCACTGGGAGAAGTCATGAATCGGGAAATTAATTTGCATAGATTTGTCCCAAAATTACTATCGGATTAATAGATAAGTTAATGCAAAAGTCAACGCCTTCAAAGGTGCACAAATTGAAGCTGCTATTTGTAAACGGAAAATACATATGGTACTTTTGTTTTGAAGATTATAAGGTGGTAGGTTTGGTATGACTCTTGAATTGAAAGAGGAAATAAATAAATAAATAATTTAAAATTTAGATGAGTAAAAATTTGGTAGATATGGAAGATAATTAGCCAATTTATTTTTCTCCCTTCGGAGAATGTTAATGCAAATTTAAAGTTTTACCCCATGGTTAGGATGCCATTGCATGCTCCACCAAAACAATTTGATTTTCCCTGGAATCTTTGCCTTCCAAAGAGCAGTCCACCCTTTACTAAAACCATTTTTAGTTGATGATGACGCCACGGTCCTGGGATCAAGAACCGTACGTACGGGCTACCTTGTAAGCACTTTTGACAGTAAACTGACCTTTTTTTGTCAAAATGCCATATGAGGGTGTCGTCCCTGAGATGAAAGCTCAGCGGAATAGTTTGGATCACATCCACATCGGGGGGGTAAAGGAGGTTAGATAGAAGGCTGACATTCCAGCGTCGAGGGTGGTCAAGAATAAACTCATTCACCTTGGTAACAGCACAGCCGTGGGGTTTTGGTGAGATAAACCGAAAGGTAGAAGGGCGTGGCACCCATGGGTCCTTCCAAATATCAATCTCTGCCCCACTGCCCACCTGCCATCTAGATCCCTGCAAAAGAATTTTTCTGGCTGCACAAATACTTTTCCAAACACAAGAAGAATTTTCAGAGACAGGGACCTCAAGAAAAGATTTGTCAGGAAAGTACTTAGCTCGTAGAACATTTGCTATAAGAGAGTTTGGATATTGTATGAGCCTCCATCCTTGCTTAGCTAACATAGCAAGGTTGAAAGCATATAAATCACGGAAGCCCAACCCCCCAAGATCTTTGGGTTGGCAAAGCTTATCCCAAGCAAGCCAATGTATTTTCCTATCGCCACTATTTCCGTTCCACCAGAAATCTGCAATTAAACGGTTAAGATCATCGCAAAAATATTTGGGCAATAAATAAACGCTCATCGAATACAATGGGAGAGCCTGTGCCACAGTTTTGATAAGAATTTATTTCCCTGCACTGCTTTAAGAGTTTTCCTTTCCAACTAAATAATTTTTTGCCCAACCGTTCCTTTCGATGAGCAAACGAGGAACCTTTGTTCCTACCAACTATCATTGGAAGTCCAAGATACTTATCATAATGATCAGCACATGAGACATCGAGGGATGCTGCTAGATCCAGTTGGTCTTGGCGCTTAACATTTTTGCTAAAGCAAATTGCACTCTTCTGTAGATTAACTTGTTGACCGGATACCCATTCATACCAATAGAGTGCCTCCTTAATTGTCCTGCAATCCCTCACATTTGCACGGGCAAACAAGTAGCAATCATCTGCAAACATGAGGTGGTTGATTGGGGGAGCACCCCTACAAATGGAGACTCCTTGTAACCGCCCATCCCTTTCCGCCTGTGTAAGAAAACTAGAGAAACCTTGTGTACATAGAATAAATAGATAGGGTGACAACAGATCTCCCTGCCTGAGGCCTCTAGAAGGGGTAAGATAGCCACACGGTGAGCCATTAACCAGAAAGGAGTAAGTAACAGTAGTGACACAAGTCATTATAAGACGAACCCATTGCTCAGCAAAACCCAATTTCTTCATCATTTGTTCCAGGAAAGACCATTCAATTCTGTCGTAAGCCTTACTCATATCAAGCTTCAGTGCCAAAAAGCCTTTCTTACCCCGTCGTCGACTCCGCAGGCAATGGATGATTTCAGCAACCAATATGGAGTTATCAGAAATAAGGCGGCTTGAGACAAAAGCGCTCTGACTGGGCGAAATCAGAGAAGGGAGGATAATTTTCAATCGGTTGGCCAGCACCTTAGAGGCAATTTTAAATAAAACGTTGCAGAGGTTGATAGGCCGAAGTTGGGTCATATCCTTTGGGTTTTTCACTTTAGGAATGAGCACCACATGGGTGAAGTTGATCTTGTGGAGTAGACGTCCTGAAGATAGAAAATTAATAATGGCTTGAGACACATCGTTGCCCACAATGTGCCAATATTTCTGAAAAAAGACAGGTGGCATTCCATCCGCCCCAGGTGCCTTGGTTGGATACGTCTGAAAAACAGCATGCTTTACTTCCTGCTCAGTGAAGTCGGTAAGGAGCGAGGCATTCATGGTTGATGTCACACATGGGTCAACAGTATTTAGAAGAATATCCTCCCTGCGTCTACAATTAGAGGTGAAAAGGTGTGTGAAATAATCCACCACTATTTCCTGGACTGCTGCGCCCTCCTCTTTTCAGACACCATTACTATCGATTAGACCCTGAATATTATTTCTTTGCTTCCGCGTGTTGGCCTGTTGATGGAAGAATCTGGTATTCCTATCCCCGTCTCGAAGCCAAGCAACCTTAACTCGTTGCTGCCAATAAACCTCCTCGCGAACCAACAACTCATCTAATTGCGTCGATAAGGCCTTGAAGGCTGCAATAGTCTGATCTGTGCACTGCTGTCGCCAAATAATCCCCAATTTATCACGAGTGCTTTGAATGTCCAGCTGCGTAGCTTTAAAAGTTGATCGGTGCCATTGTAAGAGACGAAGTCGTGTAACCTTTATTTTCTCAACTACCTAAAACATAGGTGTGCCATCAACAATAGTCGCCCAAGCAGTGCTAATTACACTTTCACACTCAGCATGGCTAGTCCACATGTGTTCAAATCGAAACCTGGGCGAAGGTGCCCCCCTTTTATTTTTCTGTTGGTTTAGGTAGATAAGGAAAGGCAGGTGGTCAGAGCGACTTGGATCCAGATGCACCACACGTGACGCAGGAAACAACTGCTGCCACTTGAGATTAGCAAGAGCCCGATCTAGCCTCTCTTTGATACCACCCATTCTGGTACTGTACCAGGTAAACTCAGGTCCTTCAAACCCCAAATCCTCCAATGCACAATCAGAAATGGCTTGACGGAAAGCTAGCATTTGCCTGATTAATCTAGGTGCTCCCCCTTCCTTCTCCTTACTGTGGAGTAACTCGTTAAAGTCCCCAAAACAGACCCAAGGGAGTGTGGACTCAGTAGCCAAACCACGGAGTAGTTGCCATGACTTATATCTGTCTGCAGTAGAAGGGTAGCCATAGAAGCCTGTAAAACGCCAATGTACTGTATCACCAATACCTCCGACCTTTCCATCAATGTGGTGAAGAGATGTGGATCGAATAGCCACCTGACATTCAGATTTACAAAGAAGACACAGCCCTCCAGACCTGCCAAGGGCATCAACTGCGTAAAAATTATCGAAACCTAAATTAATTGACAAAGAAGAAAAAAATTGACGATTGCACCTTGTTTCGCTCAGGAATACAACCGTGGGTCCTTGTGCGACGATCAAACGTCGTAGTGCCTGAACTGCCCTAGGATTCCCAAGCCCCTGACAGTTCCAACTTAGGACGATCATGGCTCTCGGCGGAGCTGAGTGTGCTCAGACTCTGCCGTTTGACTGTTTCTTGTGGTACCGTCATAGGAGCATAACTTTTTAAAAGGAGGAGCCAGTTGCCCCCCACTTGTTACATAGATTGCTGGACGTTTGCGGTTGCTAGGTTCAATCCGAGTCTCCTTATTAGTTACAGTATACCGTCGTTGAGGTCGTTTTTTCCATACCTGTTTTTGAGGGGACCTGCATGGGCACTTTGTCGAATAAGGGGGCTGAGATTAAAGGGGTCAGACCCAAAGTTATATTTGTATCATGGCCCACAAATTGAGTTTCATACTGGTTTGACCCAAAGAGTCCTGTGGTATATTCGAGCACATGGAGTTTACTGACTGGCCCATGTGCTGGCCCAATTGCTAAATCCTCAGATCGCTCCATAGTGCCCCTATTTGGAGAGCAGACAGGTGTGCCAATCAAATTAATTGCATGCACATCTTGGGATAGGAAGTCAACTCTCAAGGAATTAATGTTTTCTGGTCCTCTATCATAATAAGGAATAATAGGAAGTAATCCCTGGAAGTCAGCCTCCATATCATCCGCAATCATGTTCAAATCTGGGATACATGGGTAGGAGGGGGATCTGTGAGAACTAAAAGATAGCTTTGAAAATAAGAAGAATTGCTGAACTGAACTTGTTATTCATTGACTGAAACATGTTCTTCTTATAAAGGAGCGTACAAACAACTAATTAGCAAATAAACAGGAACAAGTAAAACACGTCTAACAAACTCCATCCACTAGAGGGATTCCTAAAGACCAGGAAAGGAAACAACTGACTCCTATAAAATAGGAACAACAATAATTAAGATAAATCTCAACATCCTCCCTTAAACTGAATGTCATAAGACATCAGTTTAAATAAAAACATAAACACATCACAGCTGCAGTTAAACAATATCCTTGGCAGAGCAAATTCCCAACATCTTCCTGAGCTTCAAGAATGCTGGCAACTTGAGAGGTTTGGTTAGGATATCTGCAGCTTGGTCTTCACTTTTACAAAAGATCAAATCAATGGTACCATCATTACACAGATCACGTAGGAAATAGAACCTCACATCTATATGCTTACTCCTTCCATGCAAAACTGGATTTTTGGACAGCTTGATTGCAGAAATATTATCACAGAACATTGGTGTGGGATCTAGCTGATTAAAATTTAGCTTTCCAAGTAGCCTCCTTAACCAAACAGCTTGGCATGCGCAAGATGCAGCAGCAACAAACTCTGCTTCAGTAGTCGATAAAGTCACAATTTGCTGTTTCTTTGAAGACCAAGATACAGCTGCTGATCCCATTGTAAAAACATGTCCTGATGTGCTCCTTCTATCATCCAAGTCTCCAGCATAATCGCTGTCGCAAAAACCAATCAAACCACCCTTTGTACCCTTTTTATAAAGTATGCCAAAATCAGAAGTTCCTTTTAAATAGCGGAAGATCCTCTTTGCAGCAAGTAGGTGCAGTCTTGTAGGACATTCCATATAACGACTGATGAGGCTGACTGCATGCATTACATCTGGCCTGGTGGCTGTGACATACATCAAACTTCCTACAATTTGTTTGTAGAGGGTGCTGTTTACTTTCTCTCCTTCAGGATCCTTTGTTAGCTTCAAACCACATTCAGTAGGACTGCCAACAGGATTGCAATTCGACATCTGAAACCTGTCCAAAATAGTATGAACATACTTCTTTTGGGATATGAAAATCCCAGCAGGAGATTGCTCTACTTCAATGCCAAGGAAGTAGTGCATCAAACCAAGATCAGACATTTCGAACCCATTGCTCAGCAAAACCCAATTTCTTCATCATTTGTTCCAGGAAAGACCATTCAATTCTGTCGTAAGCCTTACTCATATCAAGCTTCAGTGCCAAAAAGCCTTTCTTACCCCGTCGTCGACTCCGCAGGCAATGGATGATTTCAGCAACCAATATGGAGTTATCAGAAATAAGGCGGCTTGAGACAAAAGCGCTCTGACTGGGCGAAATCAGAGAAGGGAGGATAATTTTCAATTGGTTGGCCAGCACCTTAGAGGCAATTTTAAATAAAACGTTGCAGAGGCTGATAAGCCGAAGTTGGGTCATATCCTTTGGGTTTTTCACTTTAGGAATGAGCACCACATGGGTGAAGTTGATCTTGTGGAGTAGACGTCCTGAAGATAGAAAATTAATAATGGCTTGAGACACATCGTTGCCCACAATGTGCCAATATTTCTGAAAAAAGACAGGTGGCATTCCATCCGCCCCAGGTGCCTTGGTTGGATACGTCTGAAAAACAGCATGCTTTACTTCCTGCTCAGTGAAGTCGGTAAGGAGCGAGGCATTCATGGTTGATGTCACACATGGGTCAACAGTATTTAGAAGAATATCCTCCCTGCGTCTACAATTAGAGGTGAAAAGGTGTGTGAAATAATCCACCACTATTTCCTGGACTGCTACGCCCTCCTCTTTCCAGACACCATTACTATCGATTAGACCCTGAATATTATTTCTCTGCTTCCGCGTGTTGGCCTGTTGATGGAAGAATCTGGTATTCCTATCCCCTTCTCGAAGCCAAGCAACCTTAGCTCGTTGCTGCCAATAAACCTCCTCGCGAACCAACAACTCATCTAATTGCGTCGATAAGGCCTTGAAGGCTGCAATAGTCTGATCTGTGCACTGCTGTCGCCAAATAATCCCCAATTTATCACGAGTGCTTTGAATGTCCAGCTGCGTAGCTTTAAAAGTTGATCGGTGCCATTGTAAGAGACGAAGTCGTGTAACCTTTATTTTCTCAACTACCTAAAACATAGGTGTGCCATCAACAATAGTCGCCCAAGCAGTGCTAATTACACTTTCACACTCAGCATGGCTAGTCCACATGTGTTCAAATCGAAACCTAGGCAAAGGTGCCCCACTTTTATTTTTCTGCTGGTTTAGGTAGATAAGAAATGACAGGTGCTCAGAGCGACTTGGATCCAGATGCACCACGCGTGACGCAGGAAACAACTACTGCCACTTGAGATTAGCAAGAGCCCGATCTAGCCTCTCTTTGATACCACCCATTCTGGTACTGTACCAGGTAAACTCAGGTCCTTCAAACCCCAAATCCTCCAATGCACAATCAGAAATGGCTTGACGGAAAGCTAGCATTTGCCTGATTAATCTAGGTGCTCCCCCTTCCTTCTCCTTACTGTGGAGTAACTCGTTAAAGTCCCCAAAACAGACCCAAGGGAGTGTGGACTCAGTAGCCAAACCACGGAGTAGTTGCCATGACTTATATCTGTCTGCAATAGAAGGGTAGCCATAGAAGCCTGTAAAACGCCAATGTACTGTATCACCAATACCTCCGACCTCTCCATCAATGTGGTGAAGAGATGCGGATCGAATAGCCACCTGACATTCAGATTTCCAAAGAAGACACAGCCCTCCAGACCTGCCAAGGGCATCAACTGCGTAAAAATTATCGAAACCTAAATTAATTGACAAAGAAGAAAAAAATTGACGATTGCACCTTGTTTCGCTCAGGAATACAACCGTGGGTCCTTGTGCGACGATCAAACGTCGTAGTGCCTGAACTGCCCTGGGATTCCCAAGCCCCTGACAGTTCCAACTTAGGACGATCATGGCTCTCGGCGGAGCTGAGTGTGCTCAGACTCTGCCGTTTGACTGTTTCTTGTGGTACCGTCATAGGAGCATAACTTTTTAAAAGGAGGAGC